TAGATATCTCTAAATTTTCTAATATCTTTTGAAAATATTTAACATGTGTTGGAGTCATTTCTTTTCTTTTGCATTTCCCTTCATATTCTTCAAAGGTATTTAGGATCTATGAGCTTTGCTTATCTGGTTCAATGTTTCTAAGGGTTGTATTCATATTTACTTTAGTGATATAGACGTCGCAGTTAAATTCAAAATCATTAAAAATAAGTTTTGGTATATCATTTTTAATAATTAATCCTGTTTCCTCTTCTGTTTCTCTAATAACTGCTTTGATCGAATACTCATTTTCTTCAACTTTTTCTCCAGAAACTTGCCAGAGATCATACATTTCCTTATATTTATTAATCCTTTTTGATAGAAATATTCCAACATCATTATAGATAATATTCATCATATAGACTGGATTATAGGGTTTGTTAGATTTGTTATTTTTAGATATAATTGGCTTCCTATTATCACGTTACTTTAAAATCTTTTGAATTTCAAGATTCTTTTTCCTTGTGATTATATGACTATGATGGTCAATATCATTAAAATTACAAACTAAACATGAAGTATTATATTCTTGAAAAATGTGCCAATACTCAACTAACTCATCATCATCTGGGAGCTTGTTAACAATAATATATTTATTCTCATAATCTTTCTTCTTAAATTCTCTAATTTCTTTTAGCAGATTATTCCATTTTATTTGTTTTCTTAGAGGATTTGAATTATTCGCATTCTTACCTTCTAAAGGTGCGTCCACTAATTTAAATGATTGATGGAGGAATTTGTTTGTTGATTTCCTTCTGAGGATTGCCTGTTATTTTGCTGATTATTTCTATTCCTATTATTGTAATTACCATTTCCATTGAAGCAAATAGAGGCCTGACCAAATACTAATTAATTAGTACGAAATTTATTTATATGTCATTTTTAATAATTATTTAATAAATTTTAAAAATTTTAAATGTTTTATTGAGCTAAAAAGCGTTCAGAGACTTTTGACAGCCCTCTATATATCGTAAAATTACCATACTTTATAAAAAAAAATATCAAATAAAAGTATTTAAAAGTTATTATTTTATTTTAATATAATTAATTTTCTTTAAATAAATTTAAAAAAAATTTTTTTTATTGATTTTTATTGTATTTTTAAGATTACATAAAACAGTAATTTATATAATAATTAAATATTACAATTACTTGAAGATGATATTGATAATCTTTTTTATCATAATAAGAAGCAGGTAAATAAACTTGGATAACCCTAAGTTTGAATTTGTAAATAATATGATCAAAAAAAGAAGCTTGATTAAAAATGTGTGTACTCAGATTATTACGAACTACCAATCTGATACCTTGACAGTTTTGATGATGATTAGAAGAATAAAAAAAATATTTAAAAGATTTGTTATAATGCTCTATTAAAATGATGAGCTTATAACAGGTTAAGATGGGTTTCACTTAAACCTAATATGTCTATGTTAAAGTTGTTAAAGAAAGAGTCAATATTTTGAAGTTTAGTTTCTGATAACAGTTTCTAATATTATGTGTTGCAAAAAAAATGAGGTTTAGATTGTTGATAATATTTGTGAAAGAGTCATTTGAAAGAAAATTATTATTATGAGGATTTATATAATGCGATCCTATATTATAATAGTGGTCATAAGTATCTGACCGCCTCTAACTCCGGCTACAAGTAAGTAAATTTAAAAATTTTTTTTATTTAAAAAATATATAACTAACTAACTAAAATTAATACATTATGTAGTCACTATTTAACTCTATAAGTGTAGCTATACGCCTTTTTATGCTAGCTACCAAATTCACAAAAGTACAGGTGATAATCAGTTCCATTTTTTTGTAAGTTCCCTTTAACCCTCTAATTGATCAAATTTTTTTTTTTGTATATTAATTTTCATTAACCTCCAAACGTTTTCTATAGGATTTTAGTCTAAAGATATTGATGGCTAAGAAAATACCTCAATGCCATTTTCTTTCTTCCATTTTTTCGCAATTTTCAATCGATGTTTTAGATCATTATCTTCTTGTAAGATCCAATCTATGTTACCTTCACCAAAAAGTTTAGAGGTGGAAGCTAGAAGACCTTACTCATAAATATTACATATAAATTCAGCATTAAAGTTCATTTAAAAGCAAAATAGCTTATCAAATCCAGAAGCAGAAAAATATCCCTAAACATGAACTTTTGGTAGATGCTTAATAGAACGAAACACTTTTTTTCTACCAGAAAATTGCCAAACCTTTTTTTGATGTATAGAGGGCCGCCAAAAGTCTCTGAACGCTTTTTGGTTCAATAAAACATTTAAAATTTTTAAAATTTAATTAAAAAATTTATTAAATATTTATTAAAATGACATATAAATAAATTTCGTACTAATTAATTAGTACTTGGTTAGGCCTCCATTTGCTTCAATTACAGCCTGAATTCATTGTGGCATACTATTGACCAAATTTTTGATAATATATATGGAAATTTCTTTTCATGACTTCTTAATATACCGCTCTAGTTCAGCAATATAAGAAGGCATTTTTTTCCTTTCTCAGATGCTTTTCTTGATATCTGCCCATATATTTTTGATTGAGTTGAAGTCTGGACTTTGAGCAGGTCATGAAAGAATGTGCAGGTCATTTTTTACATAAAAATTCTTTGCCTACTTCGATTTGTGAGGCTGAACATTATCCTCTTGAAAACCATCACCATTTGAAAATGCATTTTAAAGTACGAATCATGTAAATAAAGTTCGAAATGTCATATGACCGCAGTATTTCTAAGTCACATAAAATTGCCGATATTGAATTGTACCTAAAAAGTAGTGTTCAGAGACTTTTGGCGGCTCTCTATATATAGTTAAAATGTACTCTCATCTGTAAAAACAACTTGATTTCAATCAAAATTCTTATATTTTTTTGCCCATTGCAACCTTTTTTTTCAATGGTTTTCTTTAAGCAAAAGTTTAGAAATTTTATTACTAAACTTTCCTTCAGACTTATAAAGATGTCACCTTACTATTTCTACACTAAACCCAACACCTCTTTTTTCCATTTTTTCTTGTATTTGAATGACTGTTATATTATGTTTTTTTTCTGCTATCTTATTAATCTTATCATCTTATTTTGCAGATATTATACAAGGCTATCTCGGTCTTTCTGAAGTACTTAGGTTCTGATTTTCATGATATCTTTTAACCTAATAAATAGCTGTAGACTTACTACAACATACCTGTTTAGCAATAAATCTAAAACTAAACTTTGGACCAGCTAGATGCTCACGTAAAAAGACAATTTTATATCATTTCTCTAAAGAAAGTTCCATTTTTTAAGCGAAAGTTTGATGATCATCTAAATTTTTTTTTTGTATTATTAACACTTATAAATTTACAGGTGATTATATATTGTGTTACATTATATTTCTGAAAAATTTAAGGGTAGTTATATAATAATTTTGGACGATCTTAGGCGGTCAAATACCTATGACCATTACTGTATTATTGTTAATTAGTTGTACACTCATTTAGAAGAAGAAGAAAGCGTTTAAAGGATCTATTGAATGCTATTCATGATATTTTTGATTTTAGATCAGGATTCTACAAATTTATTCTCTAAACTGGTAATTTTATCTAGAGGAGATGTGTTGATTAAAGGATTTAAAGGAGGTCGTTCACGTGATACTTCAAGTAGTGGTTCTTGAAAATCATCAAATTTCATTTCACTGTCATATACTCCTTTAGTATAAACAATATTGTTACATGTTTCTAACTTAGTTATATAATAGTCTATGTCCTTATGATTTTCTTGAAGAATAATAATTTCATTTTTTACTATAATAATTTCGTTATTAAGAGTGATCAATTTATTATCTATGTCAGTCAAATGTTTCAAAATATCGTTTAGAGCAGTAGAAACATTTGAGATTTGTTGTTGATGCTTTGGATTCTTATTAGTTTTCTAAGTATCAGCGTATGAACTTTGTTGATTTTGATTTGATTGTGCATTTACAGTGTAATTATTTGGATGCAAATTGGTTTTCTAAGAAGGTCTATAAGTAGCTAGTTTAAAACAATCATATAATTACCTATATAGATTTGAAGGTCTTTGAGGTGCGCAGTCTTTAGCTTCATGTTCAAAGTTACCATATCTTCTATAGTGAGAGGCAGCAGGATTAACCCAGAATAAGATATTTGATTTAAATTTGTGTTGAGATTTAATCACAGAGTCATAATCATCTTGATTATCAAAGTTAATGTATGCATAAGGATGATTACGATCTTAAAAATCACGTGATATAAAACATGTTTTTACTTTAATAGACTCTAAGAAGATTAGTAAATCTCGTTGTGTTGTGTTAAATGGTAACCCAATTAGTTTCATTTTAAATTATTATCATAAGATTAATTACATAACATCAAGGTTAGTAGGTTTGATACAAACTGTAAAATCTAATAATGGTAAAACTATATATCATTGTAAAAGGATTTTATAGCATCAGGTGATTCGTAGACTATGAAATCTATTTGCTAGGGGCTCCTGATTATCATCAAAAATCTGGCAATATTACCCCATTGTTGAAAAAAATTTTATACTATAGTATGTTTCATTAAAAGTCATCAAATCATTTATATATGTTTCAAATTTTAAAAATTCGTATAATCACGTGATAAATACAATACTAATTTATGATTGACTAAAATTTAATCACATGATAAATATAATCTAATAAAAACTTTATTTTATTAATTCATCAATGTTTTCAAAAATAAAATCTGAAATAGTTCAATGTGATTTATAATTTTTTAAAACATACATAGCTTGTAAATCTGTTAATATTTTCCTATAATATTTTATAAATTTTGCTGATTTCTGAGCATATTTACATATATGACTTAAAGAAACTAAATCCAATACTTTTGGAACAGTTTCTTGTAATCCTTTCCATGTATAATTACAATGTTGTTGGATATATCATTTTGTAGCTTCTCAATATATCTCAATGTAATTGAGTTCACAATAAAATTTTGGATAAAAAATTACTTTGTGTCCTAATCTTTCAATAATTTCTTGTAATAATAGTTTTTGATTACAAAAATCTTCTTGAGCAGCTAAAACATGATGTGCACAACATCTTGGATTTTCTAATAATATATTATTTTTACCATAAAAGGCTTTTAATCCAGAACCCTATAAACTACGTTTTTGTAAAACCACTTTCATTCCCTTAGATTTTCCATAAAGTGCTTCATTAGGATAATCAAAAAGAAATACTATAGATTAAACTTGACCATTAAATATTGTATCACGCATAATTGACTGCTTACTATCAGGATTAAGATTCATATTTGCTGCATTAAGAGTATCATCAGCCAGTTTTGCATGACTAGAAGAATTATCAAAAGCAAATATAACAATCATGCCTGAATGTGTTTTTTCAAAATTGGTATAGCCCAAGTTTTAATCTAATAATTTACATTTAAATTATATTAGTTTTTTTGAATAATTCAACATGTATTAATTTATTATAATAAAAAAATACCTGGTCAATTAATTGATCAACATTTCACCATCCATCAAAATTTTTTTCAGGATTAATCATAACATGAGCTTTATTTGGAATTATATCATCAATCTTTTTTTCATCTAATTTCAATCTTCTAATTGTATCAGTTAAAAAATCACTAATATGAATAGTTCTTCTTTGACCTTTTTTTCGTAAAGATTGCTCATTTTTAGATCTCCAACCCAAT